TGTTGTCGTCGTTGGTGGTGGTGGTGAGGGTGAGCAGCATTATAATGATGTAGATGTGGATAACCATAAGCCATAATATCCAAGAGAAACATTAATGTTCTTGTTGGCGCTGCCATTGTTATTATTGATATGTGCCATGGTCATGATCGCCGTTATAACTTTTGCTATCGCAGTTCGTTCTTGTTCAAACATCATCGTTTCTCTTTATATTGGTTTAGGATTACTCTAAGTATGAATCCCTGATTTGGTCTGAGTAGTAGTAACCGTACTAGTATTGATCTCGGTATTAGTGTTCATGTTAACGTCGGCATCAGCATGTTCCATTGGTGGCGCATAGCATTCGTGTTGCCGTGCAGTTACGGTTGTCATTGTTAATACTGAACCCTAAACCCTAAACCCTAGTCCGTAACTTTACGACCGTTACCATTACCTTCGGCCGGACCAGGCTGCTCAAGGGCACGCGAAGCGGCTCGGAGCTGCCGTAGCGGTCGCTCGGGGAGTGGTGTCTCGTGGTGGCAGAGTGCTGATGTTTCCAGTGTTGTGGGAATAAGATCTTTACTGGTTCCGTTTCCATGAAAGCTGCGAAGATGCAACCGCTGTGCTTTTGTGTCAGTTCGTGTTGTACACTCGTGTTGCACAGGGCTTCTTACCGGCTCATCTAGCTTCCTCATGCCTGTCTCGCGGATTGCAGAGCGAATCCATGCGGACACCCAGGCAGAACTTCACGACGTCCCCAGAGGCAGCATTTTGCAGTAAGGGATGTCGAGGGTCGTGGCTGCATTTGCTGGCATCGCGTACCACGAAGCCGCTCACATGCGAATTCTGGCAGGACATTGCGGCCGGCTTGCGGGAGCACGTGATGAAATCGATGGCCAAGGCTGCAACTCAGTTGGTATAAAGGAACCCTTATAGTCTTATAGTACCATTATAGAAACCCTTTAAAGGAACCCTTATAGTCTTAGAGTACCCTCAAGAAGCCCTTTAAAGGAACCCGTAAAGGAGCCCAGAAGAGGCTGGCTGCGCAAGGAACACCAGGATGGCCACTAAACCGTGAAGCCAAGGCCAAAACCCCTAAACCCTAAGGGTTTAGGGTTTAGGGTTTAGGGTTTAGGGTTTAGGGTTTAGGGTTTAGGGTCTAAACCCTAAAGTCTGTAGTGTTACAGCACCCGGCTGTGTGATCGCGTCTCCCGTCTCCCATTTAGAGCCTACCGGGCCTGAGACAGTGCTGTGATATACTATAGTATACTATAATATAGCATAATATAATAATAGAATGTACTATACTATAGTAGAATGTAATATACTATTATTCTATAGTATAATATAGCAAGATATGATATAAAAATGATATAGAATAGTAAATGGTGGTTGGGAGAGAGATCAGTTTCCATGTTTCGCGCACAGCACCGCAGTGTTCAGGGCACTCCCAGTCTGCAACACGTCTAAAGTTCTGGCGGGTGAGGTCATACGGTTTAGGGTTTAGGGTTTAGGGAGTTAGGGTTCGGGCTTTAAGGTCTCCCAAAGCCTTAACCTCAAGCCACAGATCCTTAACCGAAACTTCAGCTGCCAAGAAGACTGAAATCAAGGACCATCTGGAAGACATCTAACCCTAAACCCCAGACCCTAAACCCTAAACCCCAAACATCCAAAACCCCTAAACCCTAAACCCCAAAGGCCCTAAAGCCCCTATATTTAAAGGAGCAGGAGCCGTGAACGCTGCCAGGCCCGAAGTGCCAAGGAGAGCGCCGAGGCCACTCTGGCATTGGCCAAGGAGGCGTCGCTGCTCCGACAGTTTTCGAATCTAGCTAGTATCATTAGGGGTACCCCTTAAAAGGTACCCCTTCTGAACCCTACTTTTGGCTCTCTTATAAAGGGTCTATATCCCCAAGGGTCCCCCTAATCCTAGCTCCCAGAATCTTGTGGTGTCAGTGTTTGGGGTTTAGGGTTTAGGCTTTGGGGTGTCGGGTTCAGGGTTTAGGGTTCAGGGTGATGGTTTGGGGGTTTGTGGTTTAGGGTGTTAAAGACATGTGGCTGACCGTCTACTCTTGGATTTCGGGTTTAGAGGCAGTTTGTGGGGAGATGTAGACATTTCCTGGTGCAGCTTCAGATCTAAGCAAGTGCGAGGACTCCTGAAAAACCCTGTAAATCCTGAGACCTGCAAACGCAAAACCCCAAAGCCTAGAAAAGGCGGCTGCGTCTAAGCTCTGCGACAGCTCGCTCGGCAGCGCATGGCGGTCGCAAAAGCAAGCTCCGCAAAGCCCATGGATGGCTTTCCTTCGAGGCCTCCAACGCCGCCGACGCCGTCCTCGTCGAAGCAAATGCTTCCGAGGCTCGCCGCAACGCAAATCCAGAACCGCGGTGTCTTTCCATGAAAACAGTCCTGCTGACGGATGGCGAGCCTCAGAACGCTTGCAGAGCACACGCCGAGGCAAGTCTCGGGGTCTCATGGGTGCGAATGTGAGTATAGAACCTAGAATCCACAAGCTAAGGCAGCACCCTAAACCCTACACTCCCTATACCCCGAACACCCCAATCATGTAGAACTGCCAGGCCGAAGCACAGACACTCCTGGACCGCTCCTTGGCCCAGGCCGTCTGGGACGAGTGCGAAATAAGAAGACTCTAAAGGTTCACACTTTCCTCTTGAATGGATTCTGACATGTAGGGCTCGTGATGGCTTACAAGCCAGCAGATCAGACAACACCAGAAGAGCCAAAAAAAGCAAAGCAAGCATCTTTGTTTTTGTAACTCTGACACCGCTGGGCCCAGAACGTCTCGTTTGCCGGGAAGCTAAGTTGTGACTAAGCTGACAAAGCCGCAATTTGCATCCGGAGCCGTAGTATATTGCAAACAAGCTTGTGTGACGAGGAGGAAGAGCATGAGGATAAGTGTACGTGTGTCTATCATGCCGTTGATGGCGACCTCGACCTCGGAGCGAATGCTGACGCAGACTCTATGTAAGTCGCGAAAACGCTGCATCATGGTGCTGATGATGGTGCTTGTGATGGTGATGATGATGGCGATGATGATCATCATACATCATTATCGTCATAGACACATCATCATCTTCGCCATCCTTGTCAAGATCACCAACCATGAGGTAGACGAGGAGTAGAATTACATGTGTTCCCACGCGTCCTCCTATGGATCCTACTATTTCTAGTTTTATTTTACGCATTATTCCCTTTCTTGTCTGAAGCTCCCGCATGCTTTGCCGTTCAGGCCTTCAGTGAGGAAGTCCGAACCTAGGCAGGCCCTAGGTGCCCATTGCCATGCGCAGCTCGAGCATGCCAAGTCCCGCAGAGTCAGAGGAGGCAAGCCAAGCTGCTGTTCCGAGAGACCAGTCTTCACGAAGCTGTTATGCAATTATCAGAAACGATGCCTCATTGGAGGAGCTGCAACAGCAACATGATGAACAGGCTTTGGGCCAGGACTTTGATGAAGAATCGCCGACTCATCTTGCCGATCGCCTCGACCGCATCGTGCCGGAGGGACGTGTGCAACCTCGGGCTCCAACAGATTGCTCTCACACCCCTGTCATGGAGCGTTTCGGCAGCATGAAGTCCTTGCAGAGTGCGGCGCAGAGAGAGGTCCTTTCGAGGATGTCTTCGAAGACGACAGCCACTTCGGAAAACAAGCATCCGTGGTTTTCACCCGACGCCTGCTGCCAGTTCGTCATGCTTTTTTCTGTGCAGCCATGTCCATGCCGATCGGCATCGTCCAAGCTACGCGCGGTTGGCAAAGGCTTGTGAGATGTGGGGCAGTGATGGCGTGTACAGCGACGTGGGCAACTTGTGTCTACACAGCCGTCAGCAAAGGCAACAAGGGGTGGAGGCTGGTTGCCTGTCTGGTGCATGTGGTTGAGTCTACAGCCAACATTGCCCTCTTGCTCCGTACAAGTTGCAGCGCTAGGTTCCATCAGTTGAATGCCGTGGCAAAAAAACGCATGGAGTCCCGGAGCAGTGCCGCTCAGCAGCCGACCACCACGTGCGACGCGGCGGTGATCGTGATGTGCCTTGTGAGCTGGTTCATGTGCCATGCAGCGCAGCTTCGGCTTCTGTCCATGGCCAGCATCGATCCGACCTGGCAAGCTTACCTTCTTCCCTGCTTTCAACGCCTCTACCGTGCAGCATGGTCGCTTTGGCTCTTGCGCCTAAACAAGCAGCTGAAAGACATGGTGGACAGCTTTTGCCGGAGTTGCGTAAGGTGTCCGGGCAGTTTCGGTGAGGCAGCGGATCGCTGGGCTTATGTCACAGCTTTCGCTGGGCAGGTGACGCAAGAGGGTGATGCGTTGCAGCTTGGGCTTGCAAGAACGAACGACAGCACAGTAGGTTTGGTCTGAGGCCATGGTTGCGGGCGTGGGTTGAGGAACCCAGGTTTCAGGATTGTCTAGATCCTGACTCGTAAACTGCTGGTAAGCCACATTTCAAAGCTTGCTTAACCCCTAACCTCCAGAGCCCTGACCGCTCGGCGTTCTGGGACTTCAGGTACGTCGTCATGTGTGGAACCCTGGTACTGGGAGCTTTCTCGCCCATGGTGGAAGTCTTCCTCCCAGGCGGGTCGGTGTCAAAATCTCAGAGGGGGTCCCTTCTGAATTTTTTTTAAACGCATTATGTAAGTTTAGGCTTCAGGGGTTCAGGGCCTAAGCCCAAGACAGCTAGTTCGGGGGGATCCCTCAGGTGCAATATCCACAGGTCCGGACTGGCCACAGCTGTTCAGCAGCATCGCAAGCTTCTTCCTCATGGGCTACTTGATCAGGAGCGGGGTGGAGGTAAGTGAAAAGTGCCAGAGGGCAGCTGTCTTCATCAACAGCATGCAGGGGAGCCTTTCTGCAGACCGCTGGGCTGAACATCGCTTGTTGGTTAGCTACATGGAGAGCAGTGATGCCGGAATCTTCGTTGTGGGTGCCAAGCTTACACGCTTTTGGTTTTCGCGTGTCCGATCCCTCCTGATGAGCAGTGCTTTGTTCCTGTTGGTTCGATTCCAGACGATGCCCGAAGA